TTCGCGGGAGAGGGCTTGGGATCCGGGTCTGCAGCTGTCAGCTAAGCGGTGGCCCCCGGAGCTGGGGGTGCGGCCCCGGCTCACCTTCCTGGCTCGGGAGGGCGGGCAGCCCCTTGGCCCTGGCCCCCCTCCGCAAGGCCTCCTCCCAAAGCATGCTCGCAGGTCACCCTTGCAGGCCCTGAGGCCCCCCCAGCCTGCTGCGGAAGCACCCCGGGGCGTGGAGCAGCTCCCTGCCCTGCGTGCAGCCGGGGCCCCTCTGAGACATCACCATAACATCCCTTACTGGCTTTTAGTAGACAGAGAACGGGAACTTACCCTGGGAAACGGCACTAGTAGGGGGGCTGAAGATGTTTTATACGATTTATTTATTATGCACCCAGGAACTGGGGTGCCGGCCAGAGGTGTAGGGGTCAGAGGGTTCACCAGAGACAGTGGGGAGCAGAACAGGCAGATGGAGTAAAGTACGGTGCTGAGGGGGCCAGCGGGGACACGGGAGGGGTCTGCTGCGCCCTGGGGGGTCACTTCTTGGCCATGGAACGAACTGGTGCTGCGGTAGCCACGGCCAGCTTCACAGAGCCGCCGCACCACCAGGGAGGGCCCCAAAGTCATTGTTTATGTGCAGAGATCTTTGTCCCCAAGTGTGGGCGCCGTGCCCACGTCCTGGGGAAGGAGGGCCTCACGCCTGTCGGCGGCCCTGGTGGACAGAGATGGCAGAGACACGGTAGTGGGCTTCAGCACAGAATAAAACGGCCAGCGTCGCCCAGCGAGGGGGCCTGCAGGGCCGTCCCATGGGGCGCTCAGCTATTGGGTCAGCTTTCAGTTCATGGCCGAGTCGCTGACCCCACGCGGTTGCCTGGGCGCCCCACCATAGCAGTCAGGCCAAGAGCAGAGCCCACCACCCCGGAGAGCTGCGGAGCCGCGGCCATCCTGACGGCCCGCCCATCCGGCCCACCCAGCTGCCCCTCGGCCGGGAGGGCGATGCCCGGTGCAGCCCGTCTGGTCTTTGCCCACGTGGTCACGCCAGCCCCGGCCCCTTGCAGAGGGCTGGTTGCCACTGGCCAGGGACGGCCCTTGCCAGGGACTGGTGTTCTCCACGCCGAGCCAGAGGCCTCGTGACGCCCTGACAGCGCCTTGGCTTCCGCTCACCTGTGCTGAAGCCACGCGACCCATCGGTCGGGACTCGGGTCGAGCGTTGAGCTTTCCCGCCTGGAGGTGTAACCTTGGCCTGAGACGCAGCGTCTCTGGAACGGGCCTCTTGGGCCTCAGGCTGCGATGCCCAGTGCTGCCCTGCTGGCCTCATCTGATGAGGGTGTTGCCCTGGGGTGCAGGGCGGCTCTTAGTGGGGCTCTTTGACCTGGTTCGATCCCTTTGTGGACCTGGAACACAAAACCTGTCTCGTGTCCATCCTGTGGTCAGCGACGGTCAGTTGCCTGAGGTGATTCCAGCCCTGGTTGCAGCATGTCCCGAACCAGAGGGGCTGGTGCCACCAAGGCCCGCAGGTGGCCGTGCCCGGGGCGCAGTGACTGCCGGCGACAGAGGTGGGGCAGGCGAGGAAGCGAGCGGCAGCCGAGAACCACTCCGCGGCCTGCTTTCCTAGGACTCTTAGAAATAAGTGTTCTGGGGCTCTTTAAAGGCAATTTGCAGACACAGCAGAATGTCCGGTGTCGATCCGGCTCCATGTCGGCTGACTGGCACTTCCGGGCAAGCAGGAGTCTCCCAGGGAGGCTGACAGGGACCCGGAGCTGGCTCCTGTCACCTCTGCACCGTCAGGTCTCACCAGAACTTTCAGCTCATTTGAAAGAGGGTGGGGAGGCCGAGGGGAGAGGTCAGTTACCTGCAGCCCAGCGTGACGCCTCTGCAGACTGGCCTGAGCCCCGCCGGGAGGGCGTCAGCGCGTGTGCGAGCCCGCGCCAGAGGCACACCGGAGGTGGTGGTCGCGTCTTCGGTGCGTCCCGCCTGTCCTCCCGGCTGCTCGGAGGTCGTCGGCCGTCCACGGGCTTGTCCCCCGTGCAGGCTGGAGAAGGCTGGCTTGGCCTCTCGCTGGACCTCGAGGGGGCCAGGCGCACGCGAGCGCCGGGCCAGGGGGGCGCCCGCTGTCCCTGCCGAGCCCCCACCCCGGGCTCGGTTTGGAAGACGCGAATTGAGGAGGCTTTACCAGGTCGCTGAGACGCCGAGGCTGTTCAGAGGCCCGCTCGCCCGCTCCGTGACCGCCCGCAGCATAAGGCCATGGCAAACAGGCGGCCCTGCGGCGCGGCGAGCAGCAGGCGCCCTGACGCCCGGCAGCCGGCCTCGCGGGCTTCTGTTTCAAGCTCCGGCTGTGGTGTCAAGAGCAGCCGCGCTGCCTGTCCTCCAGCTGCGGGTGTTCTCGGGCTGGCTGGAAGGACTGGCCAAGCAGGAGGGGCCTCTCTGGGGCACACGCATGAATTTCTCCCTGGGCTTCAATTCAAAGAGAGTAACTGGGAAGACAGAAACAAGGCTCGGAGGCCTCCCGGGTGGCACAGCGGCACTATGAGGCCACAGCCACTGCAGCACCAGCTCGACCCCCGGCCAGGGGGGACCCCAGGGCGTGGCAGACCCCGCCTGTCTCCCCGCTGCCCCCTCAGCAGTGCACTTACCAGCTGGCCTGTTCTGCTCCCCACGCCGACTCTGGGGAGTCCTCTCACCGCCCTGCACCTCTGGCCTGTGCCCAGTTCTGTGGGCATAAACAAATCTTTTCTAAAAGGGTCCGGTTTGGCCCACCCACTAGTCACAAGGAATCAGCACTCTTAACAGTAAGCATAATGCGCCCGCCCTGGTGACCACGGGCAGCCCAGCGCAGGGCAGGCGGCCGCCTCCCCTCCCTAGCCACGCAGGCAGCTTTTGAAGAGCCCCCGGCGCGTCTGTCGGCCTGCAGTAGCCCTGTCAGACCGGTGTCAGCTGCAAGGCTCCACCGCTCACGCTCGGCCTTCCCTGGAGCAAACCCCGGAGCGCCCGTCCCGGCCTCCAGGCGGAGAGGCAGCTACTGCCAGTTTCTCCTCCGCCCCCAGTGGCAGGTAACGGAGCGGGCGCTGGGGAAGGGCACACTGGTTTACAGGCCCTCGGGACAGCCAGACCCCGGCGCGCTCCGGCTAGGCCAGTCCTGGGAGTGCCCAGCTCGCAGCCGGCCCTCGCGGGTCCGCGCTCTGGTCCTTCCTCTTTCCCGTAAACGAAGGCCCCCTCGCCTCGGGCCGCGCTGCGCCGCTCACTGGCCGCTCACTGGCCGGGATGGGGCGTCACTGCGCCGTCGATCGCCCCGCTATGCGGCAAGGAGAGCGGGCTGCGGGCTGCGGGCTGCGGCAGGGCCTGGCACTGCGCTGTCGCTCTGCCTGCCGCGCGCATGCCGCAGCCGGGCCCCACAGCGCAGAGGGCGGAGGTGTGAGGACTCCGGTAGTGTCCTGCGGCGTCTGCGGGTGAGGGGGAGCCCTGGGGAGTCTGCGGGATGACGGGAAGCGCACGCAGCCGCCCAGAGCGCGTGGGGACCGACCGTTTAGGGGGGCGGGCTAGACTCCCGCCTGCCGCCTGGGGGCGTCTCCTGGAGGCTCGCGCCTGCTGGGCCGGTCATGCCCACGTTCTGAGGCCAGCTTGGCGCGTGCGAAGCCAGGGACCAATGGAAATGGAGGCGCTGTTGTCCTGTTTTTAGAGATTTTATTTATTTACGCACACAAGAACTGGGGTGCAGGCCAGAGGTGCTCCCGACCAGGGAGTGACTGACCCCCCAGGGCAAGACAGACTATCCCGTCTCCCTGCTGTCCCCCTCGATCAGTGGGTGTCGCTGGATCCACCTGTTGTGCTCCCCACTCTGTCTCTGGTGGATCCGCTCACCTGCCGCATCTCTGGCCTGCACCCCAGTTCTTGTCTGCATAAATAAATATAGTGAAGCTTTAAATAAATAAATCTTTTTTAATGTATTCCTAATTTTGCCGTAGTTAGATTGTAGTTTTACTTCCAAAGAGATGGAAGTATAAAATGACGTGTTCTGTGAACTCATTATTTAACTCCTTGAAGTAAATTGGTGTGCTCACAACCGATGGCTCTTAGGAAGCCAAGGTAACCCAGCATCCCAAAACACCCATGATTTGTATCCGCTGCATTGATTTTCCTGATTTAGCGGTGTCCCTTCGGTTCACAAAACTGCTCCCGCTAGACCGACGAGCTGACCGGCCAGGGCGACGAGACTGGTCACCAAGTGGGGCGGCCGCACCTCGTGTAGCGGGCCCTTGCTCAGACACGTGGTGCGGGGCGGGGTGGACCCCTTTCTGAGCCTCGGCCACTGTGGATCCCCCTGGCGTGCCATGTTTTCTGTCCGTCAGCTGCAGCGTGAGGCCCCGGGCGCCGTGTGACCGCGGCCGGCGTCGGCTCTGGGGCGGAGCTGGACAAGTGGAACAGCCTCTTCTCAGTGATGTATAAAGACGAGGGAACCTGTCCCTGTGACCCCCGGCCCCAGGGCCGGCCTCCGGGGCGCACGGCGTGGGACTGGGCGCAGGGTAGTGCCCGGCCTGCCGCCACCTCCGTGGCCGTGACGCCTCCGTCTCCCGATCCTCTTTTTTTTTTTTTTTAAGTATCTTTGAAGATTTCATTTATCCATTTTTGCATAGAAGAACAAGGGTGCAGGCCAGAGGTGGGGGAGGAGGGTGAGAGGACCCCCCAGAGACAGAGTGGGGAGCACAACAGGTAGATCCGCTGAAACCCACCGCTGAGGGGGCAGCGGGATCAGGCGGGGTCTGCTGCGCCCTGGGCCCCTCCCTGGCCGGGGCTCGGGCTCAGGCTGAGGCTGCAGTGGCCACAGTCCGAGACTGACCGCCGGCCCCCAAGGACGCCCCATCTGTCCCTGTCCTGAGGGCAAGGGCCCCGTGCTCGCCGCCCCCGGCGTGACTCGGCCGTGTGTGCCGTCCGCCCGCTTCTCGTGCCCGAGCCGGGTCTGTGTCTCCCGTGGCTGGTGAGGAGATTAGCGAAAATGATCTTTTAGCTTGCATGGCCCCTTGTAAGAGAGTTCCTTGTAAGAGAATAACAAGAGAGCCTACAATTTCACCTAGGCCATTATATTGACCAGAAGTAAAAGCAAGAAGCGTTATTTCGCAAACCCTGGCTGTCACGGCCCTCCGTCCTGCTCGGTGGCAGACGCTGTGCGTCGAAGCCTCCGGCCGAAGTGGGAGGGTGGGCGGGAGGAGACCGCAGACTCCGTGTCCCTGCGGCTGGGCCACGCCCTGGCTGGGACGGGCTGCCCGGACCGCCTGGCCTCCAGGTGGCCACTGGCACGTTTCTGTGGCCGTGTCTGACTCCCGTCTCCCTCCTGCCTTTTCAGTTTCGTCGGGCTGGGGAGAGACGCCCGCCGTGCTCACCAAGGCCGGCAGCTCCTGGGGAGAGCCGCCCTCGCCCGCGCCCCTGGTGGACGACGGCACGGCGGCGTGGGGCCGGCCGCCCAGCAGCGGGAGCGGGTGGGGGGACCAGCCCGCTGCCGCCCCAGCCCTGTGCAAACCAGGTAAGCAGAGGCGGGGCGGGGCCCGCTGCACCGGGGTCCGGCGCTGCGGGAACTACTGGTTGTGCAGCCCTCCCGGCTGACAGGAGGAGGCGCCCCTGGGCAGACGTCCACGCCCCGCTCTGGGGAAACAAGCGCAGAGCCCAGGGCGCCCCCGCCCCCACCCGGCCGCTCTGAGCAGCGCTGTGGGCCTGCTACCCTGGGCACCGGCCTCGAGCCGCGGGCAGCGCACGGGCACCGCTTCTGCCCTGCTTATGTCTGTCAGCAGAATTGTGCGTTAGAAATCCCAGCTTGTGTCTGTCCTTTGAAAGAGGAAAGAAAAGGCGCCGTTGTCGGGGCGTGGTGCGCGTGTCCGCAAATACGGCCCCGGCGCGGGGCAGCCGTCCACATCCTGTCAGCCGGCGGCCTCTGCCCGGGTGCCCGGCAG